AGCCTGCTTCTCCCTCTCCCACTCCCCCTGCTTGTGTTCCCTCTCTCGCTGTGTCTCTCTCTGTCAAATAAATAAATAAAATCTTTAAAACAAACAAAAAATAAATAAATAAATAAATAAAAAATAAAAATTAAAAAAGGAGTAAAAGAAATAGGCATATGCAAAAATAAAACAGGTTTAAACTATATTCTATACTTTGAATGTTTTCAGTTTCTCTGGTTTTTTTGTACTCAGATCTCTAGTTGACATTGTTTTTTTGTTGTGCTTTAAGTATGTACTTGGAAGGAAGTAGGTAAAATAGATATTCATGCTGCAATTAGAATGCCTCTAAAAAAATGTTCCAGCTGCCTATTTCACAATTATTTTGGAAATTTCTGATACTAAATTTTAAAGAATTTTTAATAAATCCACTTTTCACTCAAAATATGTTTTAACCATAAAAGTTACATGTTCTCCCATTTCTTAACTGATTTGGTCAAGTGACCTTGATCAAAGTTGGACCATGCCAGATTTCCTTAAGATCCGCTTGGGTATTTTAGTCCCTATCATTAAGGTTGTATTTCTTAGTTCTTTATTGGAATAACTGTTAGCTCTACCCACAACTATTTCCAGCAGTACTGTTCTTGAAGAAAAAAAAATACTGTGTTGTCTTTATTATTATGCATGGAACAGCTGTTGTATATGTGTATCTGTGTACACATAGTTTCACTCTTTTCCCATAGGAAGAGAACTGGAGAACTGAGAGTTCAATTATAGGTAACCAGGTTTCTTGGTGCCAGAGCTCAGCCTTTTTCCTTCAGTGGCTTTGTATTTAATTTAAAATTTATAAAAACAAAATACCTTTTCATTATTTATTCAGAAACAATAGAAGGAACCAGGACTGGCTAAAATGTTTTGAACATTTTAAACCCATAAACCTATGAATTTCTAATAAAAATCACTCCTAATGCAAAGTTTATATAGTCATAAATGTAAGTCTTTTTCTCCTCTGTATATATTTAGGCTGTGGCTTCAAGTTGTTGGTCAGTGCTGAAACAGAAAAGGCAGCAGATGAAGGTAAACTTCATTATGCCTTCGATTTCTTCTTTTTTGGGTAATATGAAGCTCCTGTCAAAGAAACTGCTGAGTCAGTTCTCAAGTGGGGATGGCAGCTCATAGGGACTGTTCCTCGAGCTGGAAGAGTGACTTATTGATACTGGGTTGGCTTCCCCTGTTTTGAATTCCTTCTTCCTCTTCCTTAACATTCTGTATAGTTTTCAGTGGAGAAAACTGAGGCATGCATGGGATTTCTACTATGTGAGAGAGGGTTTAGGGTTAGAAATGGCTCTGATAGAATTTTTAAGATAATTCTGGGGACCATGTACGTGAATAATTCTTGTTTAAAATGATTCCAGAGGGCAACCCTCTCAGGTCCCCTCCCTCTTTGGGAGCTTTGTACTCTATCATTCAATAAACTTAAAAAAAAAAAAAAAAAAAAGATTCCAGAGACCCTGTGTTTTAAACAAGCTTTCCAAATGAGTATTCTAAACTCTTAACATTTGGGAACCACTGGTTTGGGGCTAGGGAGCAGACTTGTAGACTTGGGCTTGATTCTTACACTAGCTATTATGACCTCAGGCACGTTCCTGACTATCAGCTGACCTCCAGTTCTCCTATTTGCAGATGAAACTGGTGCCTGCCTCACAGGCTCGGTGTAAGAATGAAATAAGATAATATCAACCAGCTTCATTTAAACATAATGAAAAGTAAATATAAAAATGAGCTTAATAAGTAGTAGTTTCCATAATAATCATGATAATAACATATATAACTTTGTCTTCTTAGCATAAATCATACCTTAGACTAATCTTCTGTCCATATCCACAGATTACCTATATATCTCCCCTCTTGGGGAACTATTTTCTAGACCTGGAATGCCGTACTCTTTCCTCTGTATTTAAATATATCTTACCTCTTGTTGAGTTCAGCTCATGTTATTACTTGGGGAAGCCTGTCTCTTCAGTCAGCTCATGCTCATGTTCTACCTGTCTGAACTCCTACTACAGTTAGAGTCTATGGGATTTAGAATTTTAATATATGCAGAACCTCTCAGACTAAATAATAACTTCAGTGCATCCTTCATAACTTTTTGGCCTTCACTGGTTAGCTCTGTGTGACTTAGGACAGGTTACTTAACTCCTCTGATGTATCACTTTCTATGATGTTAACACAACCTACTTTTTCAGGAACGTTTTATTAGACTAAATAGAACCTAGCACATTATCTGGAATATAATGGGTACTCATTAAATGTAATTGCTGCTAGAGTATATATATTTTTTAAATGGAGGTTTAGAAGATGTTTTGGGGCCTATAAAATAGAAAATAACCCCTCCAGGAGACAGAATCTTAAGGCATAGTTATCCCCAGTTGATGCTATATGACAAATCCCACAGGATGTTATTTAACAAGGTAAATTCAGAAAGTTAATAAAGTTAGAGAGGTTCCTAAATTACAATTATATGTATTATTGCACAAAAAGAGGTAGTAATTACACAATTAAATGCTTCAATAATATCTGGTTCCTCAACTAAAAGTTAGTATTCTAACAAGCATATTTTTGTGCTTAGTCATTTAAAAATCACTTTGGTCTTTTTCAGGTAATTTAATTAAGTGATTGAATGGAACTGTTTAATAGCTGAAACCATAGTAATCTCATTCATCCTAAAAATTATACTGCTAAGGAACACCATAGCATTCTTGTTATTGCTTGGTTGTAACACTGATATGATTACTTTTTTATGAAGTATTTTTATGAGGTGAAAATGCCTTCAAGAAATAATCTTCCTCAGCACATTTGAAACTGTTGGCTAGGATATGAAAATTATATAAAACATTCTGTGACTCTAAAAGTTCCTTAGTAGGCTGGCTCATCATTAACCCGTGGTCTATCCTCAAAAAGCTGATCATATGATGGATAGCAATTTAAGTTTCTCTGCTAGAGATAGCTAATTCAAGAAGGTAAAAATAACTCGATTCTCCTTTACTTCCCAACAGATCCCAGATGGATTTTTTGCCCATTTTTATGCCATTTGTGAGCAAATCAGCCCTGTCCTCGCCTGGGGCTTTTTGGGTCCTCGAAATTCTCTCTATGATTTATGTTGCTTCTTTAAGGTATGTTCAGTCATTGAATCATCTCTTTTTTTTTCTAAATCAAAAAGTGGATGAGGCTTTATTCTGTTTTGTTTTTGCTTTTGTAGGAAAAAGAATGTTAATGAAAGGTAGTTAATAAAAGTCACCTAAATTCAGTGTTTCAATGCCAGTGGAACGTTATTATATAGATTTGGTGCTTTATCCCAGAGTAGATTCAGCAAGTCCGTTCACCTTATCAAATCCTTCTATAATGGCTTTGTGCTTTTGTGTGGTGTGAGACGTGGTTTTGTGTGGGTGTTACCCTGTTACAATCAAGTTGCTGCAGACAGTTGTTCTTCACCTCGGACTCTTCTGAAATGTATAAATCAAATAATAATGTGTCTTTATTGCACATGTGGGCAATTTAGAAGTTCTGGTGTAAGGTAACATGAATGATAAAACCCAGTTGTGAGAGCTAACATGGGAGTTTAAGGTCATACCCTGTTGTTAGCAGTTTGCCAAAACACAAGTTACAGCTCCTTGCAGAATTTTCTGCCTGGCACGGTGCCAAGAAAAGTCTCATTATTTCCTTGTCTTGAATTTAGGCTGAGTTTCAAGGAGCAAATAAAAGTAAACATAATCAAGTATGAATTTGAAAGTTTTTGATGTTTGAAAGTGTGGATTTTCATTCTGTTGTTCATTTAAAAAGTTAAATTATTATGTTTATGTGCTGTTAATGTAACATTTGTATAAGTGTTTAGGAAAAGTTATTTTACTGTCATTCAAAACTGATCAATTTTTGAGTCGTGTTTTTTTGAACTCCCAAAAGGTAAGGTATGTGTTTAGTGGGAAGAATTTGGACTGGGAATTAAGTTTGTCATTAATGGACAGCCTGACTCTAGGCAAATCATGCTCTGTCCTCCTTTTCTTTATCTATAAAATGACAGGGCTCGACAGGTTGATTGCTAACTCATCCAGATACAGAGTCAAGCAAATCTATGTAGTGTGCCTTCCTAGTACTTCTTAACTCTTGATTTCTGTGGGATAGAAATTAAGTATTTCTGTTTTTTGTTGTTTGGAATTACTTTTTTTTTTTTCCCCATCATGGCATAACAGCCTGTGACTTAGTAGTATACAACTTGCTTAAAATGAGTTTCAGAAAAAAAGAATGAGATTTTTGCCATTTTCAACAACAGGGTTGGACCTACAGGGTATTGTGCTAAGTGAAATAAGTCAGACAGAGAAAGACAAATGCCATGATTTCACTTATATGTGGAAACCAGAAAACAAAGCAAATGAACAAAAAAAACCATAGAATCATAAATAGCACAAAGTGGTGATTGCCAGAGGAGAGGGGATTGGAAGGAGGGGCAAAATAGGTGAAGGGGATTAAGAGATACAAACTTCCAGTTATAAAATAAATAAGTCACGAAGATGAAAAGTACAACATAAGGAATATAGTCAATAATATTGTAAAAACCTTGTATGGTGACGGGTGGTAACTACACTTACCATGGGGAGCATTGAGTCATGTGTAGACTTGTTGAATCACTGTGTTCTACACCTAAAACTAATAAAACACTGTATTTCAACTGTACTTCAGTAAAAAAATGAGTTGCAGCATAAGTATTAACTTACTGAAATGAAATATCCTTCAGATCTTCCAGTGGTTTGAGACCTGAAATTTTTATTTTTCATGTATCTTAAGTTTTTTATATACAGAAAAATATACACTTAAAACTTAAAAGTTAGGGCTCCTGGGTGGCTCAGTTGGTTAAGCGTCTGCCTCGGCTCAGGTCCTGATCCCAGGGTGCTGGGATCGAGCCCCGCATCGGGCTCCCTGCTCGGCGGGGAGCCTGCTTCTCCCTCTCCCTGCTGCTCCCCCTGCTTGTGCGCATGTGCTCACTCTCTCACAAAAATAAATAAATAAAACATTTTTTAAAGATTAAAAAAAGAAAAACTTAAAAGTTACAGGGGTGCCTGCGTGGCTCAGTCAGTTAAGTGTCCCACTCTTGGTTTTGGTTCAGGTCATGATCTCAGGGTCATAGGATCAAGCCCCGAGTGGGGCTCCACGCTCAGCGCAGAATCTGCTTGAGATTCTCTGCCTCTCCCTCTCCATCTGCCCCTTCCCTGCACAAAGTGGTGATTTCTCTCTCTCTAAAATTAAAAAAAAAAAAAAAAGACAAAAAAAAATCTTAAAAGTTCCAACTATTGGAAATAGTTTACTCTTCTGTCTTAAAGTAGTACCAGTGTTCAGAGGTAACATTGAAAATGTCAATTATTAAGAAAGAATTAATAGTAGCCCCTTACATTTAGACAGTGCTTTAAGGTTTACAGGCATTTCCCATAGATTTTTTTTTTTTTCATCATCATGTCAGCCGTGAATAGTATAAAGGACAAGTAGTAGTATCCCGTATTTTACAGAAAAAGAAAATGAGACCTAGGAAAGGTTTAATCACTTGTTCAAGGTCCCTTTTCCAATGGGATATGAGACTAGTACGGGCAGTCAGGCCTTCTGACTCCTATTTCAGTGCTTGTTACAATATTGGTAACTATTTAGATTAACGTAATTTTGGTCTGATAGTGCCAATTTGTTTTATGTTCATTTTCCAGAATCAAGTTCTTTTCTTTCTCAAAGACATTTTTGACTTCGAGAAGGTGCGCTATTCCAGTATAGAGACTTTGGCTGAAGACCTCATGCAGTTACTTATTCGCCGCACTGAACTGTTAACGGCCTATCTTGGAGCTGATGCACTGAGGCATACAAGTAGCTGTCTAAGTAGTCATGGTCATGTTATGTCCAGTGGCCTGTTGGAAGCCAAAGTACAATAAGTACCATAAAAACCATACCATTGGAGTGTGCTATGAAATAGTTAAGGTAACTACTGATTTTGTACCACGTGTTACAAGGAATTGGGGGATATGGACTCAGGGAGGGAAAAGACATCTGGTAGAGAATGAGTGATCATACTGTATTTACACAGAAGTTCTGTCAGTTGAATCCCTGTGTACTGTATCCAAAGTGGCGCTTTCTTGTCTTTAGGTAATAATTTAAGTCATGAAATGCTGTATATTTTATAGAAATATTGCTTGAATTGAAACCAGTACTTGGGAGTTAGTTGATTTGTCATCCCAAAGCTGTCTGCAAAGTCCAGTATCCTTCTCAAAAGCTCTGTTTTTATACTTTGCACCTTGAAAATATACACTTTAGCCAAGACCTTTGTGGCCCCCTTATGTAAGAATATATTACTCCTAGTGTCAACAAATTGAACTTTGCCTGAAAATGTATTTTTCATTGTAAAGTAATTTATTATTCAATCAAGTATAGGCAGTAGTCGTGTTTAATATGTACTGCTTACATTATGGCTTGTGCATTTGCTCATGTTTGAATCAAAGAAATTGTAATGGCTGAGTATCATTATAAACATTTAAATGAATTGACACTGAGAAGTTTACAAGTTAGAAGTTTATATTAGATTTACTCAGTTTCCAAAATATATTATTGTTGGTCCTATAAGTTAGAATAACGAGACTGAAGAAATTTCTGTTATCTTTTTATAGATTAGAGCATTTTCCCTTGAATGATTATTGATTAAAAAGATAACATTTATTAACTATGAGAGGTAATTAAGATTTTCTGTGTGTAGTTTTGAAACTATTTCCCAATATCTGAAGGTATTAATCTGGATACAGTAAAATAATTTCTCCTTTCTCCTTCTGTAGAACTTATAGCACACTGGGAATTTGTCATATTATGCCCATATTTTAAAAATATTCATACTTTGAATCTTCGTGAGGTTTTAAAGGTTTTTTTCCCCTGAATATAGAACAAAATATTTTTTAATGGCATGGAAGTATATTTCATGTCCTTTATGATAAATAAATGAACAAATGAGTTGTTCATATGAGTAGGGTTCTTCAGAGTATATTAGATACATTCAGAGCTGTGTTAATTTTGTGTCTAAATCATATACCACTTATGTAAAGTGGCTCACTCAGCACACCAACAGATTGGATTCGTGGAATTTGCTCCTAAGGTGGGCTTTATTTATTTCAAGAGGGAGTTACCCAGAAAGATCTAAAATATATTTTTTAAAAATGAATTTTTAGATTAAAGTGCCTAGCTTCTGACTAATGAATAGAAAATAAAAAGTGAGGGAGAAAAGCATAATCTTTTAAGGTTTTAAATTTACATTTGTGCCACATTTATGTAATATTAGTTACAAATTATGAGTTTCAGAATCTTTATGCTCTTTGCATGTACTGTGTCCCATAATGTGTGGGTTACAGCATTAAACAATATGAAATATTGCTCTGATATTTAGCTCCGGACGTTTCGTACATATATTCTTAATTTAACAATTGGCTATTCACAAGTCTTATTATTGATGGAGGAATAGCATTAGAAGTATCAAAGCTAAAAATTCCATTATGTGTTGTTTAATTTTTAATTCATATCTTGTATTTTTAGCTTCTTGTTGAGGTACCATTGACCTTGAATGATTCACACACACATGTGTGTGCACGCACACATTCCCATCATTGTGTAGGCAAGACAGGTATTTGTTTATATTAATTTTCCTGTGGGGGGGGCTGACTGTTTTAAGCTGTGGTTTTATAAACAAAGCTGTAAGTAAACTTAATTACTTTTTTATTTGAGGAAGATACTATTTGAAATCTATTTTGAAGAATTGCACTATTTAATAATGCTGCTACTACATAAGATAACTCTGGGGAATTTATTTCATCAGATAAGATGAATGGCTTTCCAGAAGGTGTTTTTTTTTTTCTCTTTTTTCACTTCACCTTAAAAAAAAAGTTGCCCATATTCAAGAGGCTGGTTTGTCAAATTCAGTGTTTGAGTTTCATTTGTTTCTGGTCAATTACATAGCTACTACTTCAGCAAAATGCTTTCTTTGTGGCCTTTGACAAAAGAGACAAGAGTGGGGCGCCTGGGTGGCTCAGTCGTTAAGCGTCTGCCTTCGGCTCAGGTCATGATCCCAGGGTCCTGGGATAGAGCCCCGTGTAGGGCTCCTTGCTTGGCGGGAAGCCTGCTTCTCCCTCTCCCACTCCCCCTGCTTGTGTTCCCTCTCTCGCTGTCTCTCTCTCTGTCAAATAAATAAATAAAAATCTTAAAAAAAACCAAAAAACAAAAGAGACAAGAGTGACCAAATAGAATTTCAGGGTAATAAGTATAGGAAAAAAAACCCCTCTCTATTGTAAGGGAAGAAACTTGAACTTTTTAAAAGAAACATCTCTTAAAAATGGTTCTGACCACAACAGAGTACTTAAGACATAAGTACCAATTTCAGTTTGCCTTGAAATTGGGTTAAGCAACTAACGCAATGTTACAAATAATAAAAAATGATTAAACTAGAGTTTTTTAGGAAAAACCCCGTTAGACACTCACGCTGGTACAGTCAGAGAATGGCCTTTGCCACCGCCAGTCCTACTACCGACCATCTTCCTGTGTACCTGATCATCAGGGGGCCTTGAATTCATCCTGAGAAAATGGGTTTTTCCTCTTGTTTTCTGGAAGACAAAAGATCCCTGTTCAGGTGATTTATGTTTAACTTTCTATTTTGGTTTCTCTACATTTTTGTTCAACTAAAAAGCTAGTAATTCTTCATTTAAGGCTTACAATATGTTTATTAAATGTCAAAATGAGATTTTTTTAAAAAAAGAAGCCAAGTTTTTCATATGGTTATAGTCAGCTCCAAAAAACTTTCTCTCATAAAATAGTACTGTTTATTTGCATCCATTTATTTTTATTCTATTGTTAAATGACTTTATAAAAAATATTTACAAACTTTTTCTTGCCTTAAGATGTAACATTTTCACACCTGAAACTAATGTAACATTGTCAACTGTACTTCAATTTAAAAAAAAAGATGTCACATTTTCTGCTTAAATGATTACCTAAAGAGTGCTTATTTGCATCACAAAAGAATTTAGTTTATTATTCCTTTAAACCTATGAAATAGAAATGCCAAAGTAACATTTAATATACTTCTCTGTGACCTTTCATAATCAGAAATTTTAAATTATGTTCATGACAATTTGCTTTTATTTTAATGTGAACACATATTAGGAAATTATTTGGAATATACATTTCAAAGTGATTATAAGAATTAGGCTGAATTCAAATCTTTTGTTTTTTGCTTGGATTAATTACATTTAGAAATTTCTCTGTGAGACTTAAGAATTTGTATAATCTGTGATTAGTGGAAATAAGGGCATTCTTTCTTTGTTCCTAATGATTCTATTATGTTATGTTTTGCTTAGTTTGGAACAACCATGTATTGTCCTTACTTGGCTGATATTAGTAAATGCGTCTATTTCCTAAATGTAGGGACTGTACTTATGAATTTACAGGTGAAACACTACAGTAGCAGAAAAAAAAATAGCACTGGCTCTTTAGCTAAAATAAGCATTGTAACATGGATGTATTTCTACTACTGCCAAATAAAACAGTGATGGTACATCTTACTGATGTATTGACTATTTTATACAATACTTATATATATATATATATATATATATTTGCAAGATCACACTGGTCTCATCAGACCCTGTCACATGGGAGCTCTCGGTGTTCGTTAGACCACATACATGGGCACAGAGAATGCCGACGACCGCAGAACTGTTGGAATCGAGTGCCAAAGCACATGATCGCCTCTGTGGATGAAGTAGGAGAAAAGACATTTCTGTGATGAGTGAAGCCAGAGTACTTGTGTTTTAATTAATAAGGTGTTTGGATTGGGAATGCCATCAAACACAATATACATTTATCTAATTGATGTTCATGCATCCGTCCCTATTCAGACCTCCCATTTCCCCCCACTTCCTGGTCAGAGTCCACATACAAGGAGAGGGGCTGCTGCTGGGCCGGCCGTGGGGGCACCAGATGGCAAGGGGGCTTTCCCCGGATGGAAAAACAATCCAAAGCACCCCAGTCTGTGGGCACTCTTCCCAGCGAGGAGACAGGGTTGCACATGGACGGGAGGCTGGAGCAGCACCTCAGCCTCCTCTTCTGTTTTCTTTGTCACCTACCATCCTCTGGGCTGTCCCATGCCATCCTCTTCCATCCCACTGCCCGAATGTCATGTTTTGTATATTTTAAACATCTCTGGGTTTCAGGGCGCCTGACTGGCTCAGTCGGAAGAATATTTGACTCATGATCTCGGGGTCATGAGTTTGAGCCCCACGTTGAGTGTAGAGATTACTTAAGTAAATAAAGAAAAATAAAAACCTTAAACATCTCTGAATTTTTAGGTGTGTTTAAAATACGTCTCTACAAGCATCTCAGTGTCTTATTGTTATATTATTTGTAGGGCTTTGCTGGAAATCTCTATTAACTCATTTGATTCATCCACTGTCTTCCTTACTGTTCTTATGCCACTTTTGACTTTTATTATATAGTATTTCTTTTCATACCCTGTATTCTGTGATACTTTACCCTGCCACCTCTTCTCCTTTGATCTCGCTCTCTCCTCATGCTGCTGACATCTTTGATCATGAACAGCTCTCTTGTCTGCTAAGGTGTTTTTTGTTTTTTTGTTTTTTTCCTACCTCTAAGTAACCTTCATCGTTTATGCAGGGAAGGACTGAATTCCAGTACAGAAGAGAAGAGCAAACCCTCCTACGACACTTTATTCTTTACTTAAAAGCCACAGCAAAGCAACTGGTACATCAAATACCACCTCAACCTTTTGCTTTTAACTGTCTCTTATGTGTGTCACAAAAGCCTTTCACAAAGTACATTTATATATAGGAGATTACGGAACTTTTATAATATGCTATGTTTGAAATAATACCATAATGCTTGAATATAGAGGAGCACTTTGACATTTGCAAGCACTTGAAATGCATGATTTCCAGAACTTTGCTGCATGTGTGTTTCGTTTTGTTTTTACAACACTGTGAGAGAATAGGCCCACAGGCTTTAAAAAGGACTGGATTCTTAATGTGGTAGGGGGTGGCTAATTTAAAAAAGTAGGTTAAAGCAAGTGTGTTTGTTATCTACTGCTGCATAACAAATTATCCCCAAATTTAGCAGCTCGAAACAACAAACATTATCTCACACAGTTGCTGAGGGTTAGGAATCCCGGAATGGCTGTTCCTGGTGGTTGTGGCTCAGGGTCTCTCCTGAGATTGCAGCCATTTGAAGGTCTGACCAGGACTGGAAGATCTGCTGTCAAGATTTGCTCATTCACATGGCTGTTGTCAGGGGGCGTTAGGTCCTTGCCATATGGGCCTCATAACAGAGCTCCCTGAGTCTCTTTAAAACTACTGCTGGCAACTCCCAAATTGAGTAATCCAAGAGGTATCAAGGCAAAAGACCCAGTATCTTTTATAACCTAGACTTGGAAGTGACATACCATTATACCATGCTAACATATCATGTTATATTGATCATGCAGACCACCTTTTTGACACAATGTGGGAGGCTAATATTAAAAGGTGGGATCATTTGGGGTCATCTTAGTGGCTGGACACCACCATAAGGAATGATAATACACTACATCTAGTTAAGGTAGACCTTTTTCTTCGGGCAGTCTTGATGTAGGGTCAAGGCCTTTACTTGGAATATGGATCCATTCGGGTTCTGAGGTATCTTTGTTGTATAAACTGCACCGCTAAATCATCATCTGGGATTTCCAGTTTCCCTTACTTTTGAAGGAGAAAAAATTTACATGAAAAGCAATGTATACTGAATTTTGTACCCAATTTTATATATTTGTCTTTCCCACATCTAGCTTGATGGTAATTTTTATCATCTATCAAGTCTTCAAAGCTTTCATCCTAGCTTTTATAAAACCATAACTCATTTTGCCTTTATATTTCTTCCTTTTGTAATGTTGATGTCATTTCGATAGCATGCATCTGATACAATCAAGTGGGAGAACAAGCCCAAGTGACTCAGGTATATGAGCTATATGAGGAATGTTCATACAAATTGGCAAATCTTTGATTTCCAATAGTCTTAAACTTAGCTTATCCAAACTGAGCTCCTGACTATACCTGCCTAACCTCCTCCTGCCAGTCTTTCTCTTGCCAGCAAATGACAACTCCATTCTTCTAGGCCAAAAACTTGGTCCTCACACCGCATGTTGAATCTGTTGCCAAAATCTACCAGTTCTACTTCTTAAAATGTACCAAGAAAAAAAAAAATGCCGAGCACGTCTCACTATCTTCACAGGCATCACTGTGGTCCAAACTCCCATCACCTGCCAGCCCAGCTATTTTGGAAGCCTCCCAGCTGGTCTCCCTGCTTCATTTAGTGTATTTGCAGCACATCAGCCAGAGTGAACGTGTTAAAAATATGTCTGATCATGTCACTACTTTGTTCAGAATCACCATGGCCACCCACGTTAAAGGCCAAAGTCCTTCCAACGTTGGGCAAAAGGGTTCACCAGCCATGTCCTGCCCCACTCCGCTTCCTCTTTCCCCCTTTGCCTGCCCAGCTTCACCCGCACAAGCCTCCTTGCTCTTCCTAGAACATGTCAGGATCCTCCTCGGGCTTTTTATAATCTTTCCCTGGACCCCTTTCCCTCATGTGTTTCCAGATATTTACATGACTCATGTTCTGCATCTGCAGAGATTTACCTAGCTCACTGTCTCCCTTTCCTTAGGACTGATTTATAATGAGGCTGTCCCCTCAGTATCCACCCGCCCCATTCATGGCTTTCCCTACTTTCCTGCTCTGGATTTATCCGTCGTGGATATCACTAAGTACATAGTTTATTTGCTCATTGTCTGCCCCCTTCCACAAAATGTCTCTTCCCATGATGGCGGGATTTTTTATTTGCTTTGTTACTGCTGTATCAGTATCTAGAACTGTGTATTTGTTGAATGAATGAATGAATGAATGAATGAATGAATGAATGAATGAATTGGCGAAAGAAGAAACAGGCCTTGCATGCTGTGGGTAGCCATCAGAGTTTTGTAGGAAAAATGGAGCACTCTGTTTAATCTGGTGAATCCACTGAGTGGATATCCATTAAGAGAGCTTCTACTCATTACTTTAAGTCATGAAAATAAATGTATCCTTGGAAGTTGAAAAGTGTAGGGAGGAAAGGGGTGGAATGAGAGTTTATAATAGGGGACACTGACAGATTGGGAGTGAAAGAAAGGCTTCTCTGAGAAAGCATCATTTAAGTGGACAACAAAAACTTACACCGAAATTAGGTAGGTGGGGAGTGGGGGAAAGAGGATTTCATGCAGAGAACAGCTTGTGCAAAGGCCCTGAAGCTGGAAAGTTCCATGAACTAAAGAAGGTCAAGATGATGGTATTGAAGGGAGCAAGGGGGCGGGGTGAGCTAGGTCATCCAGGCCACCTATCTGTATTAGATTAAGTTTAAACAGCTGTTTTAATTACCAATCTGGAACTTTTCTCTAATTGAAGAATGAATAGCTTACACGTTGAAAAAAATTTCTATCCTGAGTAAATAGTGTATGGGGATGGAGTGTAGAAGAAAAGTTACAGCTGAGAGTAGAAAGCCTTCTCAATACCCCTGAAAATATAGCCTGAGCACCACATTCTGCCCAGATCTCCAAGTTGGAAGTGGTTGTCCCTGGTGTATCTCTGTGGATGCTAGCTCAATTAAAAAATTTTTCTTTTCTTTCATCTATCTTTTATTATTTATTTTCTGCATGCAGCGAAGAACTGAAGATCTCCCCCACGAGAAAAATTCCCCCTCTGGATGAGCATTTCAGGTTTTAATATGGGTTGTTTCATGGGTTTAATTGACAGGCTTGTGGTCCAGGTTGAAAAGGCCCATGGGTGCTAATATTCAAAGGTGCCTTTATGTAGGTTTAGAAGGACCAGAGATGACTTGCCCTCAACTAAGGAAAGGTGCAAGATTATGTAAGTATTTGCTTTTAGGTTTTTTGTTTTTTTTTTTTAACCTCCTCCCCTCCCTTCCCCTTCTCCTTCCACTTTTCTCTATCACCACCCTCCTTGGAGTTAAAGAGGAGAGCCAAGAAAAGGACAGCCACAGACAGACGAAGTGGTCCCCGGACTGCTGCCCTATGTCGCCGAGAGAAGCGGGCCTCAGGGCAAGCCGGCTGTGGGTGGTGGGGAGCCAGCTCCAGCCTGACTACGAATCCCATTCCAACAGCACTCCCTTCCCACTGGGGAGGCGGCCTTCCGTCCCCGGCCCCTGCCGGGAGGTGGAGGCTGACCCCATGTGAAAGGCTCAGCGATCCAGAGTCGGGCGACACGCAGGTTCTGGCGGAAAGTTGGCAGCCACCGCCCTCTCTCCCGGCTCCCTCCCCGACACTACCCCCCGCCCCGGGCGCTACGGCGGGGGTGGGGGTGGGGGGAACTGGCCTAGTGTTCCGGAACAGCTGCAGCCGGCGCTGGGCCCGCCTGGAATGCGGGGACAGGCTGCGCACCAGGACTTTTATGGAAACTTGCTGGTGGAGACGGCGACGACGGCGGCGGCCAAAGGGCTCCCAGCGGCCGGAGCGGCAGCGGCCGGAGCGCCCAGACCCCCGCCCATACCCAGGCGCAGGACGCGCACAGCCTCTCCGCGCGCAACGAGGACACTCGCTCATCGCCGGCTCCTGGCGGGTGAGAGAGTCGGGGAACGTGGGGCGGGGGCGGCGGGGGCCCGGAGGTGTCGGGTCCCCCCCACCCCCCTGCGGGGGCGGGGGCCGC